AGACCATATTTTAAAGCCACCACAGGGGGAATGAGAATGTCCCTGCTGCCACTCATTTGCTATCACGGTCAAATGTGACCTTAGAAGGCCAAGGCATGGCCTTGAAGGTGGAGGCGGGGATGGGGGGAGATGCAAACCAGGATGTGTTCTCGAGAGAGGGGCAGGAATTGTACCAACTGAATCAGCTGTGATGGGTTGGTGTACCTGGGGCAGGTCCCTGGTCAGTGGGACTTAGAAAAGCAGAGGTGGGGGATAACTTCAAGATAAAGGTGATGGAAGGCGGCGTTGTTCTGTTCAAGGCGTTTTTTGCTGAGTCCCGGCTGGCTGGAGCTATCCTGATTGCCTTAGGTTGGGGTTCATTCTAGCTACTCCATTAGCATAAGCGGAGACTTTGCCCAGCAGACTTGGATGGATGGCAGCTGGAGCCCAGCCAGGTCTGGGGTGGGCCAGCTCCACAAGAGAGAACCAGATGTTCTTGGTGCCTGATGCCATGGTAACCTGCTTCCCCCTCCCACCAACAACCCAGATGCACTGGTCTGTGTTAGGTGCCCAGGGCATCTTCACAGCTCTTAGAGAGCTGTCTGGCCTTGGCATTTAGGCCTGCTTAAGACAGGCTCCTATCTTCACCTGGAGCCAGGCTGTCCAGGGCCTTGGGAGATGCATTATGCCTACGATGATGCCATTTCTGAAGCTAAGATTGATCTGACGTGAATGAATACGGGGACCATGGGATGGGATATTTGATGTTGGGCCTTATTAGAAAGTCTGTCTCCACTCTGCCCTAACATGTGACCTTGAACCAGTGGCCATGAGGGGCCTCAGACTGGCCAGGCCTTCAGACAGCGGTGTGGCTGGCTAAGTTCTGAGTCGAAGCAGAACTCCCTAGCTTCTCCAGGTCACCCCTCTCTTGTCATCTTATTTTGGGCCAAATGAGGCTCCTGGCCAATACTCAGCCACTCCACGTGGTGTTCTGGAAAAGAGGCCTACTGGTCCTGCTTTCTGAGAACTGGCAAGCCTGACTTATGCCTGTACAGGCACAATTTCACTTGGTCCTCAGACCCTGAGACCCCTTCTCCCCGAGTCAGACAGCCGAGGACTGAATGGCCAGAGCCCCGGGGAGGATGCTAATCTATCTCCTTGTCTGGTCAATGTTTTTCTTTATAAAAGACCTTCCCCCTTGACATCCATGTTCTATTTCTCTCTGCACAAAGCCAGAGGGAGCAGCTTTTTCCCTGATAATTTTTTCTCTCTTCTACTTGACCATATCAATATAGTTGAATCTCAGACCGACGGTAATTAAAAGGCACACAACTAGTCATTTTAAAATCTAGCTGTTTTACTTAATTGATTTTACCTCCAGACCCGGAGACAGCGAGCGAGCGAGCAAGAGAGAGAGAGAGAGAGAGAGAGAGAGAGAGAGAGAGAGAGAGAGAGAGAGAGAGAAGCAAGCCTTAGAAGGGAGACAAGTTTCTCTGAGGGACTGGAGGCAGCCGAGGGCCCTGCTTGAATCTAATTGCTGAAAATGCTGCAGTTTGTTTCTGTTAATGGTTTTCTGCCGAGGGGGCTCGGGAATGAGGCAGGTCCTTGGCGATCAGAGGGGAGGGGCAGCATTTGCTTCAGCTGCACGGGGGGGTGTAATTCTGCTTTCGGGACAGGGTCTATTTTTCCTTACTATCTATCAGCATAAAGTACTTTCACTGAACACTTTGAATTAAGGTTCCATTTAGAGATACTTTATTCATATTTAATTACAGGCTGCAGCACCAATCTTTAATTACCTTTTTTATAAGCCAGCTAGGAGCATCCACTAGCGATCAATTATTGTGTATGTGTATGTGTGTGCGTGTTTGTGTGAGCACGGGAGGGTGGAGGAGTGACTTCTAGTTAGAGAAGGAGATGGCTGTAGGGACGCTGGGGCTTGGGGGTGGGACAGGGGTGACGCCTGACAGATGCCCCCTACCCTTTCTATGACTCCTTTGCTTCTGCTGGGGAAACTGAGAGTTTGGTTAGCCCCTTCCTGCTAGGGCTGGTTCAGATGCTGAGTTGGCAGCTGGGGTTAGGTGGTTGGTATCTTGGGGTATCTTGGTATCTGCCCCTAACCGGGGCAGGAGGTTGTGGGGGCGGGCCCTTCCTGTCCCTGGGTGAAAATGGCAAGCCTGGCTCCCTGTCAGCCTGGAGATTGGGATCTGCTTGCCTCAGCCCTTTCCTTCCCTCCACTTCCCTGTGGGGAGCGCTTGGCAGCTGTTCCTGTCACCCAGCCCCAGAGATGCCATGTCACTCTTGGGTTGCAGTGACTCTGCAGTGTCCCCACAATGACACAGGTCGGAAACTGGTTGTCCTCCTCGGAGAAGGAGGTGACGTTCCCTGGACCAGGCAAAGGCGAGGGTCAGGGAATGAGGCCGCAGGGAGACTGGGCCAGGTCCACAGCTCCGCCTTGAGAAATGGTCTCCTTGGTGGTTCTCCAGGCATTACTAGTCTGCACGGGGGTCTCTGTGTGGAGCTCATTATACAGTAGCAGAAGTTCTGCTTCCTAGTGTTCCTGAGTCCTTGTTCCTACAAGGGGGCAAGGAGGGGCTGGAACCCACAATTTCCATGTCTCTAAGGGGCCCTGGGCCTGGGTCTCCCTCAGTCACCTCATCGGGTACCTGAGGACACGTGATGTTAGAGTCCCCCCCGTTGTCTCTGTCACAAAACTTGGCTCAAACTGACTTAGGCAAGCAAGCGAGCGGAAAGGGAATTATAGGCTAGGCATATGAGGGATGGCTAGATCCAGGAACTAAAACTAACCAGGATTTATTCCCCCCTGCCTAGGCTGCCTTTGTTTCTATTCTGTGATCCTTGGCATGCCCAGAGCTGTGTTTTTCCTCTCAGGTTCAATAGAAAGTATGTATTCTCCCACTGTTTAAACAGACACAGAAACATTGAGTCTGATTGGGCTAGTTTGAGTCTGATCGGACCAGTTGGGCCACACGTCCATGTCTGAGCCAATCAGGGTGGCTGGGGCTTGCTGAGGGTTCTGACAGGCCAGGCTGAGGCCTCACCTGGAGTAACAGGTGGGCTCTGCCCAGGTAAAGTTTAGACATGGTTTATACCTTCCCCATTTTGGATGGCAGTCCTTTGGAGTGTTTGTGTTAGTAGCACTGTGGGACTGGGAAGGCCAAGCCGTTTCAAGGGGAAAACTAGGCTGATTCTGTTCTCCAGTGGAGAGAACGCCGGATATAGCCACGCAGCAGGATACTTGTTTGACTCTGATTAGTTCCAAACCTGCACAAATTGCAAGGGTACAACCGTGGCCAGAGCAGCACCCCCCCCCCCCCGCCACTGGGCACATGGGGAAGGTGGTTGTGGTGTTCTCTCATACTAGGACCAAGTCCATGATGAAAGTTCTTGTGCTGAGAGACCCAGAATAAGCAAGTAGCTAACACAAGAGAGACTCTTGCCCTTGGGAAGCCTAGAACTCACAGAGGAAGGAAAGGCAAGTGTTGCTGGGGGCGGGGGGGGGGGCGGCACGGGACAAGGAGATTACATACCAGGATGGGGAGAAACCATCCATTGGAGAGCTGTCTCTCATGACCAACATCTGAGACCCTTCCTGATGCCTGCAGGGGTCTCATCCTCTGCAGAATGTCGGTAAACGCAATGAAACTTAGCGGAAGGTACAGGAACGGTGGCAGGGAGGTGGGAACCATTTATGATGTGAGATTAACAGGGGAATCCTGGCCAACAGAATCGGAATGATAGCCGTGGGGAGTTTGGCACCTCAGGTTTGAGGAGAGCAAGGGGCAGTGCTAAGGGGCAGGCCAAGGGGGCTGGAAATGGGGATAAAAGCAGGAAAGAGGTAGGAAGGAGAACTGAATTGACCTTGAATAGGGGCTCATGGGGAGTGGGGAAGCAGAGGCATGTGATTAATTACAGTAGATATATTGGTGTGTATTTGTCTGCCAAACTGGCCAGGCTTTCTGGAACCCCGAGGCTGTGGGGGAGCTTAAAGAAATGGAGAGGATTTGAACCACCGCCTTTGCCAATCTTTAGAAAAGTTTCTGGCGGGGCGGAGGATCTCTTGCCATCTAGTAGGATTTTTCTATCTGGACCGTGTAGTGGTGACTAGTCAGAAAGACCCAGTGTGGCAGTTTTTTTTCTTTTTTTTTTCTTTTTTTAAAGATTTATTTATTTATTATGTATACAGCATGTACGTCTGCAGGCCAGAAGAGGGCACCAGATCTCATTACAGATGGTTGTGAGCCACCATGTGGTTGCTGGGAATTGAACTCAGGACCTCTGGAAGAGCAGTCAGTGCTCTTAACCTCTGAGCCATCTCTCCAGCCCCCCAGTGTGGCAGTTCTAAAGGAGAAGGAAGGGAGGAAGAAGGCAGGAGATGCAAGAGTAGGAGTGCACTGTCTACTTCATGTAGAGGGAAACTGAGGCACGCAGGAGGCAAGGGAACTCCCAGAGACTCACTGTGGGCCCCTGGCAGTCCTGGGATTCTGCTAGGACGTGACCAGGCCAGCAGTGGCCCCGAAACCCACGTCGAGGCTGCTGCTCAGGTAGAGGTAATTGATGGTTCTGATTAGAAGCCTCCAGCTTAAAGGTCCCTGAGCTCTCTAGGTTGGTGGGACTGGAATATCTTCCATCTGGTCTGTCATGCTGCTCTGGCCCCAGTTCTGTTAACTTTTTATGATCTGTGTGTGAAGGTTCAGCAGACTGAGTGGTGGGTCGTTAAATGGGCAGACCATACGCGGTCTTCCTTCGGCCTTCGATGGGGGTTACAGGGCTCCTGTGTAAACACGCCCTCCACGTGTGTCTCCTGTCCTGTCCCATCCGTGTGTCTGGTGTGAATCCTGACCATAGCAAAAGGGCCAGCTGGGACCCACACAACTGATAAGGTGGTAAATCTGCTGTGGGACACGGAACAGCTCCGGCTCGTCTTCTCTCTGGCTCAACCTCTCACCGAATTAGGCCACCTCCTCTTAGTGACTCTGTTCTCTTTCCCCTCCTGACAGATCCCTGATTTGTTCCTGAGCTTCGATGACACCCCTCTGGGGGCAGCCTCCCTGGCCCAGGTCCATAAGGCGGTGCTGCATGATGGCCGGACAGTGGCTGTGAAGGTCCAGCACCCGAAGGTTCAGGCTCAAAGCTCCAAGGACATTCTCCTGATGGAGGTGGGTGCTCCCCCCCCCTTTCTCTTTCCTGTTCCTCAGTCTTGTTTTTTCCTCAGGAGCCAGACAGCCTCCCAGATACTTACTCAGGCTGGTGGGTGGACTGTGGCCCTCCGAGGAGCAGAGTGGGAGAGCAGAGCTGAGGCACGACCAAGGCTGTGTCATAAGAACTTGGAATCACACCCTGGGAAGGCTGGTCAGTTCTTGATCTGTCCTGGAAATGCTCGGAACACAATGAGCAGCTGGATGGGGCTGAGCTGATTCAGGTCCTGATGGGGACCTGAGTCACAGCGAGGCCTCCAGGGAGACGCAGTAGAAATGAAAGGAACCAAAGGTGGTCTCCTCAGGGGTAGACAAAGTTGCATCATAATGTATTATATTAGATTGTAGCATAGGAAAGTATGTGATAAGCCAAGGCACAGAAAAACGGTGTGCAGGTTGCATAGAAATATTTATGCAGATGACTCATTTGCTTATATGACATTTATTTTGAATTAACAAACTTACATTCTTGCAGCTGGTCCTAGGGAAATTCCAAGAGGGCCTGTGTGCTCCTGGAATCTTCTACATATGTATCCACCAGGGGAGAAGAAGCCAGTACTCCTCCATGGCAGTCAACAGTCTGTTGATCCCACATGTCCCTCTCCTTCCTAGTCTCTCTTCCTTCCCTTCTTAGTCTAGACCCAACTGAGGTCTCTTCTCACTGTGTATTAGATGGTGCTGAGGGCAGGTGAGTAAGTGAGCTCTGTCTCCATGTAGCATAGGAGACAGGTATGTAAACAGACAGCCGTCCAGTTGGAACCTGAGCTCTCTCAGCCTCAGGAAGGAACTGTGCCAGGATGCGTGGAGTTGACCAGGGGGCTTCCCGGCAGGGTTAGTGTTCTTGCGGACCTGAAGGACTCCTGAGACTGCTGGCCAGCGCATGGATAGCCCAGCACGTGGGAGGGCCCCCCCCCCCCGAGGCAGCAGGAGCAGAGGGAGCCTGGAGAATTCCTACCAGCTCAGACGGTGGGAGGGGATTGGGAGTGAGGCTGGGAAGGTAGGCGGGACGAAAAGGACCCTTATCCCAGGCTCAGGTGTGGCACAGTAGCCACAGTCAACAATGACATACTTGGGAGACGGACAGCCTGTGGTTTTCTCAGTCTTCAGTGGGGGGGACCATGTAAGAATTCTAATCAGGGGACTGTCATGATCAGCTATGCCCTGGAAATAGAAGTGTGTTGGCAGTCAGGAGAATATGCGCTGGGAAAGCACAAAGTCTGTAGAGTCAGGAGACTAACAGAAGGGCTGCTGTGTTGGTGTGAGAGAAATAAGTTAGGATGCAGGACGGTATCATGGGGGTAGAGGAGGAGTCAGCTGGACTTTGTGGCCAGCTCTTCATGGGGAGGGGCCAAGGAGGAGGTAGAAGTAAGTGTATCTTAGCTTTTTGGTATAAGTGACTACCATGAGGTATCTTTGCCTATGTATATCAGCTAGAGTCTAGTTGTGGAAAAAGAAATCGCTCTAGGTTAGAAAAGCAATCATTATATGAGGTTCCAGAGGCATATTGGAATGGGAGTATTGTTGCAGCCATTTTGGATGGAAAATAGTTTCCCAGAATTACTTAGCTTTGCCAAATGGATGGCTAAACCAGGAAGGCACTAAAAAGGGTACTTGGGGTTGGGGGATCCTAGAATTGTTAGGAAGAGCAGCTACAAAGGTGTGAGGGGTGAGGGAGAATTGGTACCCAAGGAAGTGGGATACAGTATAAAATTCTCTGGTCCAGTGTTCAAACATGGGAGGCTGGGGAGAGTTAGCTCCAAGTGTAGAGTTCAGTGCTCCCGAGACCTGAGTCGGCCTTAGCTGACGGGGAAGGGATGCTGGAGACTCGGCAGAGAGACATAATTGAGAAGGCAGGTCCAGGAGGACATTCAAGAGATTGGGTACCAAGACCACAAGAAGACATTGGCCTTTGACGGGTCTTTGCTTGGAATGTAGAAGGCAGTGAGGCTGAGCATAGATGAGTGTGTGGGGCCCTGGAGAGGGGAGGGAAGGTGGGCAGCAGAGTGTGTACCAGCCCGATAGCCTCTATTTTTTCTCTGCTGTAGGAGGCCAGACCATCTGCCAAGAATGAGGGGGTAGGAGGTGGCACTGGAGGCTTGAGGGGGTGAAGGTTTGGAATAGCTGCTGCGTGTCTTTCAGAGGGAGCGGATGAGGGACCTGGACTACCGAGTGGCCTTGGTCCTATGCTGCAGACCTAAGGTTTTAGAGACTCTCTTGGTAGCTTAAGACCTGGTCATAAGCAGGAGAGAACAGGAGCCAGGGAGGATCCATGGGTTTCTGATGGCTCTAGAGTCAGGCGAGAGCCTACCTTTGCCCAGCCTAGGTGTCACAGCTCCAGGGGACGGGAGGAGAACTGTCACTTTGCTCTGTTCAGATCCTCACTGGCTCCCTAAGGAAAGGTGGCTGTAAAGTCAGTGGCCATAAGAACAGTGGTAAAGTTTTGACATCTTCCTCCCTGAGGTAAGCATTGGATGCTTTTGTTGGGACATAGGCCTGGTGGATCCTCTGCAGAGCACACAGTGGCCTCTTGGCAGAGACTGGGAGGGTTAGGGTTGGGAGGACCTGATGCTACAGGACCAGGACCAGGCTGGGTCCTTGGTGGAAGGTCCTGTCATGGTTACCTTTCCCCACCGGGAAACCAAGAAGATTCCAATTAGAAAACTGATGTTGTTTGACATTTGAAATTAGTTCTTCCTTCCTTCCTTCCTTCCTTCCTTCCTTCCTTCCTTCCTTCCTTCCTTCCTTCCTT